ATTAAAAAAAAAAAAAATCAAAATGTTACTATATTAATAGTTATACTAGGGAAAAAAAAAAAAAGAAAGATGTATAAAGTTAAAACGCCTCATCTGATAAACTGACTACTATCGGCGCCTTCTCTCATTGGGCAGATTGTTGAAGGCGCAATGAGTAACGCCATATTGTCTGGCTTGGTCACCAAATATTGCATAAGGTTGGTTTGTGGTTGACATAAACGATTGCTAGTTATTCTTAATATTCATTAAGTTAGCGATAATCAGTTCATATTTAAATTTATCACCATTTTTTTTTCTTTTTAATAATTTTAATCACTACTTTATATTACCGTGCAAGAAGGGGTAAGCACATTCCACTATTTGTAGAAATCATAGAGAGTAAAACAGACTGTTTAAATTATGAATTTATAAAATATTACTTAGTAAAATATATTTACGTATCTAGTGTTAAAATGGTTTAAATTCTTTAATTTAATTGATATTTTTATTCTTATTTTTAATTTTGAACCATGGTTCGTTTCGCTGAGTTTCGTTTCGCCCGCTCCTTCCTTATAATACATACTTGCTAATTTCAGTTAGCCGATTCCAATTTTTCTTACACCCTATTGTGTAGGCAGACACGTGACCCAGTTCCTACCTCCATCATCAGAAGATTTTGGTTGTCGACATCATGTAGCGACTTTTGGATATCTCTTCTCTTTTAAATATTCCATCGGACTCATTCACTTAATTATAGGATATTGGTTTACCACTTGTGTGGTAGTTGTGCAAACAAGGCTTCTGTCCTCAACCGTGAAGAAAAAGGAGCTGTTTTTTTTTTCCACATCCGTTTTTATCCACTGTTAGTGTCTCCTTTTTCCTCCATTCTAAAAAATCTCTTCACTTTTCTCTATTTTCTCCTTCAATTCTCATTTTTCTTATCCTCTTTCTTTCCATCCCCGAACTGTGTGTTCTTGTTCTTCAGGGCACACTCAATTACGAAAAAATAACGATAAAATAACTGAATTACTTTAATATAGAAAGAAACTGGTTAAAAAACCCAACAGCTATTCAAATTCAGTACCTTTATTTTTTAAATAACATATCCTTTTATTTTTTTTATTTATAAAACTAGTACTATAAAACGATTTTAACGTTTGTATATGCCTAAATGAAGGCAGGGATAATATTAGATTTTAAAGTAACTAATCCACATAACCGGTCATATTCAATCTTGTAAATTTTCAAATGGTATAACCCCCACCCCCATCAGTGCATCACTTTTTCAACCACTGCATTCGCACACTTAAGTTCATATTAAATATTATATATTTACACACGCATACGTGTGTATATAAAACATAAACCAATATATGTGTATATACTCGTATATACATATATATTGATAAATATATTCAGCTACAAAAATGAAAACTCGAGTTGGGAATAAAAATGGAAATTAGTGAAATATCAAACGGTAAGTACAAAAATGCCAAGCTTTACGATGTAAGTATCCACAGCTTGCAAATATAGAAATGAAATCTTACTAAATAACTCGAAATATTAAACAAAAATCGCTGATTTTTCAAAAACTTGATATAGGAAGAAAAGTCTGAGAAGGGAAGTTTTTTTTTTTTTTTTTTTCTCCCCTAATTTTGCAATCATGATGGGTCTTTATGAAGATCCTAATCTGGAAAAAAAGGCGGGAGAGGAACATGACTAAAATAATTTGGGAGTTCATAAATACCGCTTTGTTAAATATTGCGTATTTATTTAAAAATGGGCAAATTATCTTTTTTTTTTCCTTTTTCTCATTTTCATACAAATTTAAGTAATTTGTTTCCTGGGTTTGGCGAGTCAGAAATGAATCGATACTCGTAATGGTTGTATGTTTATTTGTGTTAAAACTGAATTAGATAATAGATTATTTCCAATATCAAGACTGATAGATGTCGATTAAAAAAAACAAACTAAAACTATAAAACTAAAAGTTTTACATTCACCCTAACGAGCGGCTGACTTATTAAGCAAAGAACATGGAAGGGGGAGTGGCTGTGTGTGTGTGTGTACATGAGTGTGCCTCTTGGTTCAGCATGATAACAATGACGCACATAAAAGAGTAAAAAGACCTACATAAATAAGAAGGTTGTTTTTTTTTTTTTTTTAATTTATTTAAGCAATCCATATCGACGATTAAGATTTGGTAACAAAAATTTATTTTCCCCTAAACACTAAATTTAAATTACTACTTATGGCTATGATCGCTCTGACGTTGTAGTAGTAGTAGTTGCCACTCCCATCCCGTCGCCATGATATCGCATCCACTCAGCCTTGTATGAGGCGTATTTACATACACCCCCCTCCCTTCAAGTTGAATACATTAAATATCGTTAGAAAGTAACAGGTAATGGTTAGTTATAGAACGTTAAAAATAATCACGAAAGTACAAATTAAATTTATGAGTTGTCTTTGTTAACGAACCTCAGTTTCCCCTCTTAAAAGCCTGAACTTAATTTATTAAGCCATGACCCTTTCTGGTATTTTCATTGTTGACACCACCATCAAAAATTCATCGAACTGATATAACAAGTAACTCTTGTGACATTTCTCTTCTTCACCTTTCTCATTCTCACCACCCCCTTTTTATTATTTGAAAGCACTTTTTGGCTTTCCCTTTTTTTCTACTCCACTCGGGCATATTTCATTCACTAAAACCATACATCCTGTAATTGCACTCCCTATCCCACTCCTCAGTCATTTATAAATAGCTTTGGTATTTAGTAGAATGAAGCTTTATTTATTAAAAAACATTTTTCTCGAGTGTGTTGCTTTATGATTTGAAGATGATTTTTTTTTATTTTGCTGTTAAATTGATTTTATTTTTTTCAAATCAGTCCTTTCAAATTTTAATAAACCCTGCGACCCCCTCCCAACAACCAATCAAATTCAGAATTGTTTTTCTCTATCTTTTTTTATTAGAAGCATTGCTTAATTTAATTGCATATCGACAGCTCGTCGTAATAGCCTGAACCTATTTCATTATTTTGAATTTTTTAAAAATTTTCAACTTTTTGAATTTTTATTAAGTCTTGGGTACCCCCTCATCCTTATTGTAGCCTCAAAACAAAACCCTACCCGCAGTAGAGTAATAAGATTAAAAAGCATTTCTCTTAAAAATTCCATATTTTCAAAGCAATTTTTATTATGACATGAGGAGAAAAAAAGTTATTTATGGAGGAGTGTAGAAGAGGAAAAAACATGAATAAAACCGAAAACGAAACTAAGCAGTTTTTTCCTGTTTGTAAAAAATATTTTGCAATATGGACCTGTCAACAGCAAACTTTTTAACTTTAGGCATGATTAAATTACGTGAACATAATACAACTAAATTTGATAAAACAACAGATTCGTTAAGACTAAGAGTTATGCATTTTTTTCACATTCATCATACCAAGAGGAATTTCACATTTTAAATAAGTCTCTCGAAGCATTTTCGCATTATAATGTTTTTAATGTTATTTATTTACTTAATTTTAATTGTTAAAGTTTCTTTCAAAATATTTTTTAATTACGATTAATTTAGAAATTTATTTAAAATTATTTTCTCATAATTCAATAAAATTCCCAGATAACGACATCCTACACTATTCAAACCTAAAATAAACATGTTCACTTAGTAAGAATTGTTATTTATATAGTAATTAAGACATTTTGTTTTGCTTTCATTAGTTATTGAATTTGAAAAAGATGATATCAGTCTAGGAAAAAAAAACAACCTTTTCTTGTGCCAAACGTTGGGCTGTAAAAATTGATCCAAGGGAGATAATAAAACTTTTCCCTAGTAATATATCTACTTTTACAAAAATTCGGTAGAATCATTACCCCCCCCCCTCCCAAAAAAAAACAATAAAATCCAGGCTGTTGTAAGCAATATATATATTTTATACATAGTAAATATAGACACGGGGAGATGCTGAAACGTCTATTCAAGAATCGCTCTCTCACACCCATTAGAAAATGATATTTGGTCAGATCACAAGTTGGTTGGATCGAAACTTAATGCACGCACTGCTTTAAATGTGAATGCAAAAGATTTATTTCTTTATCATCTATGGAAAAATGTATTTATTACGTAATTTTCAAAACATTAAAATCACCTACAAATTATGTCCTATATTATGTCTTAAATCGAAAAATGTTTAACTAGATCACGGAGAAGTGAAAGTTTCCTATCTGCAGGGATTTATTTGCCTTTTTAGTGCACGTGCTTACGTCTGTGTGTGTGTATGTATATATGTATGTATGTGTGTGTGTGTGTATATATATATATATATAAACACGTAATTTATTTGTTGCTATATACATACCAACAAATAAAATTAAATGTTTGACTTCACAAATCTATTCACTCATCAGAAGGTTAGTGAAATATATGTGTGTGTGTGTATATATATATATATATATATATAAAAATAATAGTAAGAGTAGATTATCATTAATAAATTTTAATTATTCAATAAAAATATTTTATTTTGTGAAGTTTTATATTTCTCTTGCCTCCCCCCTTCTTTGGGGGTGGGATTTTATTTTGCAAATTGTTAAGCCCTGCCATTTAAGTTAATTTGTTTTAACATTACCTATGCTTAGCAAATATTTTATATTTCTACATGTTTTCTGTTAACATTTTTTAAATGGTTTGATACAAACATTTAAAAATCTTGTTTATTTCTGCATTTAAAAAAATTTGATTCATTATTACTAAAAAATACAGATTTTTTTTAACGTTTATTACACAATTGTTTAAATTTATATTAAATATTAATTTTTCTTATTTTTTACAGAAGAGAATTTTGAACTGGCATGTCATGCAATGGATGATGAGGTGATGGATGATGAACAAGACTATCTTGCCGATAAAGGCACATTATCAATTGAATTAAATGATGCAAATGTAGCAACAAGTTCTGGTATTTCTGAGCGATTCTCAAATCGCTTTTGCAAAGTCCAGTGTGTTGGCTGCAATGTTACCAGAATCGCTCAATCAGAATATTACTGAAGATGGCCCAGCAAGCATGAACCAGTTTTCTATTTTACATGATGATGATGATGATGATGATGATGATATTGATGACAGTAGAAACAATGCTGGAGATTCAAAAATGTCATATCAGAGCTCGATGAACAATGTAGAAAATGGACAATCTGTTGCACAGAATGGGCAAGATCATAATGAAAAATTTTGTACACAAGAAAATACTTTGCCAAAAAAGTTAGCAGTGAAAAGAAAGGAGCAGGAGAAAGGTGAAAAGGAAAAAAGAAGAGGCAGTAGAGAAGAACCAGAAGATGGGGAAATCTTAGAAGATGGAGAAATTGCAAGTGAAGAAGATGATTTATTCTTTGGGAAGCGTCCTAGGGATGATGATGAGTATAGTGGTAAGTAGACATTTTAAAAAGAAAAAAATCTTTAAAAAATTCTGAGATTTTACTTTCATATTTTTATAATCTCCCAATCACTTTCCAGGAATGTCTGAATCTTGTGGGATTGTTTTTTCAGAAAAGTCTGCAAGCAGTCAAGAAGAGTCAGAAATGAAATCGGAAGCAAGTGATAATGAAGTAGAAAACATTGAAACTGAAAAACCAGAGGCGATTTCAAGGCGAGAACGTCGTAAACGCAAAAGAGAAAGGAGAGAGAAACGGCGTAAAAAGAATGAATCTGTTAGTAATCTATTTCTAGAATTTCTTTGAAAGTTTTTTAAATGTTAATTTTAGATGTTTCTTTCAAGTTGAACGTTTATCAGTGATTTTGAAGTAAATACAAGAATTTTAAACAGTTTGTGTAAAATTTGTTCTTTCTGCTATGACCACAGTTTAAATGCAACATTTTTCTAGTGTCTGATTAATTAAATCTATATAAATTAAGAAAATATATGAATTTTTATTTATAGTTTGAAAACTTTGCTGTATTAACAGAAGATATTTTTATTTGAAGTTTTAATAAATTTGTAAAATTATTAAAAACCTGTTAATAGATCAGTTGTGTTATCTCTTGATTAAAAATTAAAAAATGATTATTTTATTTTATTTAGAAGCGCAAACGAAAGAGGTTAGAATATGTTGACCATGATCAGGTGAATGATGAATACAGCTGGAATCTTTCATCAAAAAATAGATCACCGTCTGGTCCTTATGATAGTCCATCTGACAAACAGTCATCAAGTCCTTATAGAAGTCCACCTGGACCATATGACAATCTATATGAAAGTCCACCTGGATTGTATGATAGTCCATCAGAAGATGATGATGATGGGTAAAGCTTGTTTTTGTTTATAATTGTTTTTCATTTCAATATTTAGAATATTTTATCATCTATTAAATCACTTGTAAGAATTTATTTGGAATTGTTTTATACTTTTGTATTTAATTATTTTTAATTTTATTTTTAGCAATTGTCCCAAACTTGCTAATTTAATTGGAGATAATTTTATGGATCTAGCTGTTGCTGCAACTGAAAAAGAGGTAAATTTCAGTGATAATTTCAAAATCAAATTCTTTTTTCCATGAAAACATTTCTATTTGCTGTTGTAAACATGAACATTTTTTTTATTTTTTAATAGGACATTTTTCAGCCTCGTGAAAAGAAAAGAGGAGGGAAAAAAAGCAAGCGATCTCATCACCATCATTCTTCGAAGAAGAAGCCACTTTTAGAAACTCCAAGACAGAGAACCATGTGCAAATTTTTCAAAGAAGGAAAATGTTCCAAGGTAGAATGTATTTTTTACTTGTTAAGTCTCATTGAATATAGTTGGACATAGTTTAAAGAAAATATATCCTTTCTAGGGAACAAAAAACAAATAAAAATATTAAAGTATAATGGCATGCATTTACAAGAAGTTACTTCACTTACATATAAAAGTTAATTCAGTTGTCATAAACTTTATATAATTAAGAAGAATTGGAGACTATCCTGATATAAAAATTAGTTTTTTTACTATATAGAAATAGAGGTATTTTGTAAAATATAATAAAAAATACTTATACAATACTTATTGCATTGAAGAATGAATTTCTTACAAGGTTTTTTGTAAAAAAAAAAAAGAAAAAAAATTAAATTTTGTTACTTGTTTATTCTCCAGAGAATGAAGAACAATTTGACTTTTGTGGAGGACAAAATCCCAGTGGGATTGAATTTAAGCCCTAAATTGAAAAAAAAATGGCCTCAATTATTGTTTTATCTAGTAACATTTTAGCTTTATTTGTTAAATTATTGTGTATTTATAATATGGATAAAGAAAATATTTATAGTAAATGTTTTTAAAAAAAGATTGTTAAAAATTAACTTGATTTAAAAAATGTGTTTTTCATATTTTGTTTTTTTTTTTTTTTTGATCATGCCTGAAATTTTAATGACATTGTATAAATTTTGCACATAGTTTCCACTTAGGCATTTGCAGCTTGTTATCATAGCTATTAAGATCTGGTAGTGACAGATATTTTTAATTTTATGTTCAGATCTATATAGTTGAATAAAGAATTGTTTCTTTGTGTATCATCACCTACCATCTATAAAACTTCTGAGAGACTAACTACATTTGCAAGCTCCTGCAAGTCTAATTGAATTGTGGTAATTACAAAAAAAAAAAAAAATTATCTAACAACTCTTGGAATGATAGTAACTAATCTGAAAATTACAGAATGTTACATTAATGGTTCAACAAGGTCTTAAAGTTTTAAACAAAAAAATTGTTGAATACCTGGTTTTAAAATATCACTATGCAAGCTCTCATAACTAAAAAGGTTTCCTGTCATAATTTGGTACAAATGAATATTTTGATGTTGATTGTAACCTATGAAATTAAATGTATCTTGTCAAATATTTGATTAGTTTCTCTCTTGTATTATTACAGGCAGATGATTGCCCTTACAGCCATGATTTCAAGCCTTCAAAGAAAACGGAGATCTGCAAGTTTTACTTAAACAGTATATGTACCAAGGGAGACAACTGTTTATTTCTGCATGGTGAATTTTTCAAAATATTTATTCTTTGTTGATTTAATTCATGAAAACGTAAATGACATACATGCATTTATATTTTCATTACTGTAAATTCCATGTTTTTAATGCTGAAAATCCCACTAATAATTTATGCTTCTCTTCTAATTTCAATCTTTGTAAAAACATAGCTTTATACATTACATATGATGAATCTTGATGTATGATTTTTATTTATTTATTTTTTTTTTTTTTTTTTCAGGTGAGTATCCATGCAAATTCTATCATACTGGTGCTCAGTGTTATCAAGGAGAGAAATGCAAGTTTTCTCATGAACCACTGAATGATGAAACAAAAATATTATTGGAAAAGGTTTGTTATTGCATTAATTTTACTCTCTATGCTTAACTAGTCTTTAATAATTTTTGCATTTATCCTAATTACTGAAAATAGATTATAGCATGTAACAAAATTGCATATTTTGATTTGTCATTGCATAGTCAGTAGACTTATATTAATATGCCAATATTTATATTTTGAAAATTAACAATTTTATATAATTATGGAATTAGTTGACTTAAAACTTGTGTATGTAATGCAGGTGTAGAAATTATTTTTATGAGATGTGTTCAAGTTTTCAGATTCTCCTTAAATATGTATCATTTAGGTTGCATAAATATTGGAGCATCCCTTTGTGCTTACTGAATAAAGAAAAATTAAATCACATTCTATAGTTCTGTACTATGTCATTTTCTGAAGTAAGCACATGGCTATAAAAACTTTTACCTCCTGTTCTCTCATCTGATTACTTAATCTAGTATATCACACACTTTTAAAAAAATGAAAAAAGATTCTTTAAAATTTCACTTTTAGAATTTCAGAAAATATTGATTTTTATCTGAGAGACATTATTATATCAGAAGCATCTCTTGTGCATTGTTTAAATTGATGAAAAAATTTTACAGATTAGAAAGAAAATTGATTTTGAAATGTAAACATATTTCTTTAAATTTACATAATTTAAATATTCTTAATATGTTAATATCAGTGCTATCAGGTCATTTTTTTCTGATTTATTAAGGGCAGATTCCATTTTGGATGGCCATTCATTTTATGCTCTGTATTTACTCAAAATGAATCTTACGTAATTCTTGACTTACATTATCTAATAATTTGATACTAGTTACTATTTTTTATTCATGTTACCTTTTACCTTGTAGATTTTAGAACATAGAGATGAAGAATCCTCAGATGATGGTAAGCTGATATTCTTTTTAAAAATGCATTCACAATGTACTGATGAGTTTTATTAACTTTTTTGAATTGCCAATAATGAATTTTTATTTGTTTCATCTTATATTTAGATCAAGTTCATTATTAGTATCCCTGGTTAATTGATTACTTACAGTTAATAACACACATTTGTAATCTTCAGTTGTGCTTTACAGCAAAATCAAATTCTTATCTTAAAATGATATAAATGAACATTTTGTAAAAAAAACAGAGTATTCAAATACAGTTAATTGTCAGTTGAATTAGTTTTTAAAAAGTACTTATTTTGTAAAATGCTAAATTGTGTATTTTATTTACAGATTCTTCAAGAGAAGATGGATCAAATGGCAAGAAGATTCCTTCACTGTTTGATATCAAAGTTTATCCTCCAGGACAGAGTCCAAAGAAGTCAGCAGGGTCTTCAGGATCACAAAGTGGCAGGTAAGGAAATAATGTAGCCATTAAAATCACCCATTATTATCAATTTGATTTAAATTACTCTTTTCCCCAAAAGTAAACATCTTTAGTAAAATATGAAAATAATTCAATTTTAGGAAATTTTAAGAAAATTAAGCTTCTTTTTTTTATCTTTAAAATGTGTAATGAAAACTTTTATAAATTTTTGAAGTCTTTTTCAAATTAGTTCCATTATCTGTTTTTGGAAATTGATGGTGATCTTGATGAAATTAAGATAAATATCTAATGTCAAGTATAATGTTATATCTTTCAATATTAAATGCCTAAAATATTGAGATAATTACATAGAAACTATGAAATATTAAAATATAAATTGTTCTGGAACATTAAATTGATAAAAAAATTTTATTTTTTTTTTAATATTTGTGATACTTTCTTTTTATTTTTAGACCTGGATTCTATAAAGATTCGCTGAGTTCTTCGCCCTCTGGGAATTCCTCTTGCTCAATGCCACCATCTGGTTCAGGTATGGGAGGGCTTGGTCAACTTCGACCAAATATTGGATCTCCAGGACATCCTTCTTTTCTTGGACCTCGTCAGACTCCCAGTGATTGCCCCACACAACAGCAATCCCCTCCCCAGCACGGTTGCAGTCCACCTCACCCCCAACCATCAGGTCCTCCTGGAACAAATTATCCTGATGATAACATTTCTCAACCCCAAGGTATTCATCTATCTTATTATGAAGTGATTAGTTTTCATAAATTTTTCTCTTAAAATAAATCAATGGGTTTGTTTGATAATCTTTAACTATTCTATAATATTTAGTATTTATTTAATTTTATGAATATAATTTGTACGTTCATTATTCAATTATAAGATATCCTTTTGGGTTCTGTGTTATCAAGACTTTAAGAATAAATTCAGTGTAAGATTCAAAATTTTAAATTAAATGTTAATATTTGTGTTAACTGATTTTAACTGTTAATAAGGTAAAAAAGAGAAAAAAAAATGTTGATGTAGTTTTATGTAAAAATAGAATTTGAAAAATACCCTACAGATAAATTTGTAATTGAATAATTTTAGTGAATCACTCTATATGTTCACAGTATTCTTCATGTTTTATCAACACTTCAATAATAAATCATTTACCCGCAGCATTACTTTTCTTACCTTTATACTATCCTTTTTTTTTTTAACTGTTCCACTTAGGATTTAAGATAGCCTTTCCTTCTTCTAAAGATACTGGCTGTTTGCTTTTATTGTTGTAACCACTTTTCCAACACATTCATATGGTATAATTTATCCAAATACTGTATTTGATAGCATACATGACTCAATTTTTTCCCCCAAAAAGTCTTGAAAATATACCTCCCATCATAGACATGTTTACACAGACACTGTAGACTACCAGTAATTGTACCTAGCCTAACTCCATAATACTGTATTATTTACTCAAATATCAACATTATTATTACTTTGATTTAAACAAAAATTAAAATTATGAATCTTCAAAATGGCTATAGAATGAAAGTGCTTAAATTATATTGATGGTAATAGATCAGTATTGTGAGCTTTTGTGACACCCCCTATAGTAAAAATGATAAATGACATGAAAATGGAGAAATCAATAACATGCTTCCACCCCAAAACTGGTTAACATAACTAACATTATCCAACCCTAAGGTTGTTAGAACTTAAGAATTTAGGGGCATGTTTCTATTAAGATGATAATAAGGCCAAGAGATGAAGAATACAAGGAAATCAAGGTTTTATAGAAACAGAAAGTTTATGAAAAGGCAGGAGTTTATCAGGTTTATAAAAACAGTTATTCCACTGAAAAATACCCGCATATTGTATTTTCATAGATTTGTAATAAATACATGAAAAGAAATTTGTTTTGAATTACATCTAATAGAAAACACATGTATTTCCAGTAACATTAAATGCTTACTCATACAAACACTAGAATTTTCAATATTTGTTATTGAAAGAGAGATGGATGTCTTATATACCATCAAATATAGTATTCTGGATGATAAAAATCACTTTTTCCTATTTTTTGATTTTCTTTTGTCTATGCACATCATCCTAATTCTTTAACAGCATAAAAATTAAATAATATGTGAGATTTATATATATGTTTAATGTAAATAATTTAAAATAAAATATACTGGCATTCTAAAATAACTGAAATCGTTTGTAAACTTGACACAAATTACACTACTTGGAGGCTATCTGGGAATGAACATTGTAATGCACATCACTGAGTGTAAATTAGTTGATTATTAATCAAGATTTCTATCATTAAATTGTGAAAATGGAAGTATCAGTATCTGATTTTATCAGAATTTGAACCTGTTGTAAGGTAGCATTAATTAAAACCTGTTTGGAACCTTTATTATTAAACAGAAAATCACTATTGGTAAATTATTAGAAAAACATTTTAAATACTTATATTCCTTCACTTGCTTGAGAAATATTTTTCTGTTTACACAATTATTCACTGTAAATGGTAATAACTGAAATTGCTAAAGGTTTTTCAAACTGACATCTATGCTTGTTTATTGCTATTGCTGTCTCACTGAAAAAGGTAATTGTTTTACAATAAATGAGGTAGAATTTAGATGACGGATTTTATTGGAAGTTAGTAAATATAAACTGATCAGATGAGTATTTTGGGCATCTTTTTTTCTAATGTTAAATAGTTTTTATTCTCATGTCACATAAATTTAAATACATTTTTTTTTTTTGCTTTGTGTTATTAGATAACCTTCATCACCCACTCTATCATCCAATGCATTATCATCATCACCATGGACCTCTACCTGATGAGCGACATAATTCAGAAGGAGATAAAGTTGAAGAGCGAAAACCAATTCCCATTGAAATTCCATCACATCTGCCTCCAAAGCAGAAAGAACTGTTTTTACGGATTCAACAACAGCAGCACCTTCAGACAACAACAGAAACCACTGAAATAAAAAATGACATTAAAGGTAAGAAAGAAGTAAAAGCTTTGTTTTTATCCTGTGGATATTGTGTGTATATGTGTGCGTGCGTGCGTGTGTGTATATATATATATATAATCAATTACAAAAAATTTACTGATGAAATTGAATTTGATGTTAGGAAAATAATTTGTTTCTTTTGAAAAGTAAATGTACTTCACTTTTTGATGCAAGTCAATCAAAATAAATGTACTTAAATTAATATAGGCAAAATGGTCCTTCCTTTTTACCATTGTCATTATTATGGAGGCATTTGCACAAACTGTAGCCTGCACCCTAACTTTTATAACCAAGAAATTTTCATGTATATTTAATGTAAAAAATAAATCTTTCATCATAACAGTTATTAAAAATTGGAGAAGGATAATCATATTGGTTATTAATATTTTTTTTATTATTAATTTGTGCTAGTACCTCTAATAAAACCAAAGCCAAAAAGGAAAATACATAAATCTGTTTTGCAACAACTTATTTAAAAGTTAATTTAAATTTGGAAAAAAACATCAGAAGTAGACAGTTATCAGTGATGTGAGCAGTTTCAAATTTGACATTTGTAAATAAAAACAAGGTAAAGATAAATCTTTAAAAAAATCAATGATCAATTTGATACCGTATTTATATTATAAAGAGGACCCCTTTTATGAATGATAAAAATTCAATATTTTTGAATTCTGGCAAACATTTTGAGTATAGGAAATTTTAATGAATGAAACTAAAATTAGAATGTTTTTGTAGGGGCAGATGATTTTCCCTCTTGTGTCTCATGTAACTTAAACTATAATATAACTATTATTTCAGCATTATCTGATAGATTATTGTAATTAGTTTTATATTTATAGTGACTATATAAGCTCTATTATTTTATTGTGTTTTAAATTATTAAATATAAAAAACTATCAGCTTTAAAATTAGTACGTATTATTTTGTAAAATGTGTAATATATATATATATATATATATATATATATATATATACACACACACACACACTTTTGTCTCTATGTAATTTAACAGTGAATGACTATAATAAGTAGAGGAGTTTTGTATTCTGTGAAACATACATTTATTTGAACTAATATTCTTATCTTGGTTGCCAACATTATTTTTGTTGTTCAGGTATCTGTTGCAGTCAGTGATGTTCTCAGAATTTCAAACCAATACATAAGGGTAGACTGTTTTCATCCCACTATTACTAAGAGATATCTTGTGTTAATTATTCTTATTAATCAGAGTATATGGATTTCACTGCTTCACTCAGGGACTGGAACAATTACCACCAGATAAACTGTGTACACTTAACCAACACTTATCCACTATACCAATTAGGTAATGGGATTTTGGGTTCTTAAATTTAATACCTGTTGTTTACTGAGGAAAAGCTCATACAATGATCAATGTTAAGCTGATTGAGAAGGTTATCAAATTTGAGCATGTATATTAATTCTTTCAACTGCTTTATGTTCCAGTATTGCTCTCTATCTATAGGGTATAGTAACTTTACATGATCAGCCATACCTGACTTCATAGTATCTGTACATGCTATAGCTTTTCCCTTAGAGACATGACTTTATATTGATTGTCACAGTTGCATGAAATTTGTCTACATCTTGGAATATTGTTCACATACTTTTTGATCACATTCTTATCTGATGGAGGATTGACTCTGGTCAGGTATCTCTGAAGAGTCAAACTGCTTTTGAATTCTGTCTTGATGTTGTAAGGGCCACAGATCCTCTGAATGTATTTTGACATAACTCTGATTTAAAGTATAGACAGGCTATATAGCATTGTTGTCATCTACCCTTGTACTTCTGCTTGTAAGGTTGTTGTTAAACTGAAAGGTGTTCTTAAACTGAAAGGTGTTCTTAATACTGATTATCTCTGGTTATGGATTTAGTTCCATGTTGTAGACAATGGATGATCTCTTTTCTTCATACGCTGTGGATAGTGAGAATCAAAATTTATATATTATCTTATGAATGTTAGCTTACAATATTTGGAGGTCTTGAACCTCTATCCTGATTGATTTATTATTAGGTTGGTTCAAAAATAATGTCGTTTTTTGACGTTCAACTTCAAAATAGAAAACGACATTATTTTTGCACCAACCTAATAGTACATCTATGAAGGCTAGTTTATTATCTGTTTATTTCTCTATCATAGACTATATTGAACTTCTTATTGAGTTTACATGATCCAGCAGGAGTTGTCCATCTTCCTGGTGGAGCTAGAGGATGAAAGTTTCATCCATGTATCATGGCCATATCAGCAGATTCCATTATACCAATCATAAGCCATTTCCTTGGTGTATTCCATGTATATATTTATCATCAATGGACACAGTAGCAGACGTATTGCTATGCCTTCTTCCTGCTAATGTGTGTCAAATTCCAATTGAAAATATGTTGTTTGTACACACAGAATGTCAACATCTTCATTAGTTTGACTCTTGGAATATTGCTCTGCCCATTCTCCTTGCAAGGTAGTTAGATTTCAATTTATAGAACCTTATCTGTGGGACTTTGGTGAACAGGCTCACAATGTTAATAATCACTATCTTGTAATAAATATGAGCCTCTTTAATCAGAGGCTATGAAACACTGTTTTGCAACATTTAAGTACTCTAAAAAAATATAGGCAAAAAATACTTATTAAATATTAGTGGAAAATGTGGGTATACTTAGTGAATGATGTTATTAATATTTAATTAAATGGATATGTTGATGTTTTTAAATGTTTTTATATTTTGTTTTCAGTTGATGATGATAACTGGTATTCTAGTGATGAGGATGAAGATGGTGAGGCTAAGCCCAAGTTAGCTGACATCCTTAAAAATCTTAATCAGCAGGTAAATCTCGTTAAATTTATTACAGACATTTTATGTAGCACTAAAATACTTTCATAATGAATGAAAACATAATTGCCAATATTTGAAAATAGATTGCAGAAATAAATTTTTTACACTATTTACATTGTTTGAACTTGTCCTAATTTTATTGTCACATTCACAATGTTTTAGATTTGAATTTTCATCAAATGGGGCTGTCTTCTGTGGCTTTTATTCCCAATTGAGTCCAGCTAATTCTTTTGTTGGCATTACACAGGGACACTTTGTAACTCATCTGACCACTATAAAACACATTAGATAAGTCAATATGGTTGTTTGCAGCAGTGGGTAATGAAGAGGACTCCATCCTTAAATAGCCATATTGACTTATTCAATGTGTACCAACAACAGTTTGAACAGTGTAAATAGTTACAATACAGAAATATATCTCAGAAATATAGAAAAGAAATTTTTGTTAAAATCAGTATGCAATTATTAGCACATTGCAATAATTTTCAGTAATAACTAGCTGCAAAATAATGGCTAAGTTTTAAAAGATTTACACTGATGAACCAAAACATTATGACCAGTGATATGTGGCAAGAATGATAGCTACTGTCTTATAATAAGTTTGCATGTTAGAGATATATAAGCAGGTAAGCTAACTTTGAGTACTTCATTTTCATGTGTATACTGCTGCAATTATAGGCAGTTGAAATTTAACAGAGACTTAGGCATTGCTATCTAGTGCATTCATTCTTTTGTGACTTGGCATTATGACTCTTGACACCTGCATTTATTTTTCTCTTACAAATTAGCATCTTCAAGAATATTTTGTTTTTGATAATTACTGAAATGAATATAGGTTGTTTGGAATTATTTGTATACCATTATTCTCGGATTTTTGCAGCTATTTCTGAACAAAATTTGCTGTTTATTTTTTACTTGTTCAATTTCATAACTAATTAAAAGTAGTCTCTCATCTATTTTATAAAAAAAATATTTCCTATATCCTTAAGTAGCATTCACAGTCTGAACTGAAATGCTTACTAATTGAAAAGAAAACAGTTGGCATGAATAATTTCATTTTACATTGCAGCCTCCAAAGCCTCCACCTAACTTTTCCCCAAGCCACTCAAATAATCAGCAAGGTTCAGGCACACAAGGTGCAAATTCTGCACTGAATATAATGCAGATGATTAATGCAATTCGAAGTCAACCTACTCCTACTTCAGGGGGACCATCCCCTGCTGTTTCAGGAGGGGCAACAATCACCAGCACCAACACTGCTACTACCACCACAACCACAGGATCTGCAATAGTACCAGGATCTTCAGGATCTAGGTAAGATTTTGATTTATATTACATCTGTAGATGATGATCATTTTCTAAAATATTTAAATAAACATGATTTTCTTACATTTGGAAGTAAAATTAGTAAATGTTTTCATTTTCTATATTTATTTTATTGATGAATTGGGCTCTTATCCTTGTCTTGATTCTATTACATTTTGACTTCATTTGGAATCATTTTTAAATTACCAAATTTGAAATCTGTTTGTTTATATAGGAATTAAATTCCTGAAACAAAAAATGTATAAATGTATAAGCATGAATGTTGGTTCTATTGCTATAATGCCTATTCACATATCATTTTTGTCCTTTTTTAAAAATTGCTTTATAGATTAATATTTTTAATAATTATTAAGAAAAATACATGCAAAAAAAATCATTTTTCTAACCAGTTTTTTCTTTACTCCATTTTTTTTACCTTCATTTCCTCTTTACTGTTTCAATAAAATTTTCATGACAACAAATGTCAATGCATACAATTTACTTAATTTTTAATGTTTAAAATTTTTCTTTTCATAAACTTTAAGGCTAAAGTATTTTTTTAATGTATTTGATGTAAGTTTTAATTTGAACACTTTGTACATAAGATATAAAAGTTATAAAAAAACAGTATTATACGAAATTAAATAAGTATTAAAAGCGATGTAGTGATAGATGTTGCATTCAAAACCTGGCATTTATTTGATAATATAAAACTGACATGCCAAAAGTCATGGGATAGGTGCCTAGTATTGTATGCCTTCTAACCTGGCAAAGTGTAAAAACTAGATGTATCAATTTCACAAGTGTTTGGATGAGCTCTATAAATAAAAATAAATAAACTGAGTGGTGTTGTAATATTAAAAGGGAGATCCTGGTAGGTTTTTTTTTCTCCTATATCCCATGGAAACTAAAGAATGCTGAACTGACTGTCTAGATACCTTTTGCATTGAATGTGATCTGAGCCAGTGTCACGTGTTTATTACTGCGATCATTAAGGACATGTGATTTGCCACTACACTGCCTTTCATCAGATATTTCTGATATGCCCATGATACCATAGACTGATAGATATCAAATGTTCATACAATTTTAGAAATGGAATGTCCTATCTGTCTTGTACCTACTGTCATACTCTCTTTAAACTCCTTGAACTTATATGACCTTGCCATGAGCAACCTAGCCATTATAGTATATTGGCACCATTACCTTTATATACTGCTATCCCATGACTATTCATGTTAAAAAAAAATTTCATGTCAAATACTTGTATTTTACAAAAAATAGCTTACTGGAGTTTTTTATAAAATGCTTTTTCTTCTACTTGAATATTAAGAAATATAAAGCCATGGTATTTGCTAGTATTTGTTTTTGAACTGAAAACTACTGTTTTAATGAACTTGAACTTGATCATTTTATGTGGAAATTGTTTTAAAGATTAATTTAGTGGTAGTACCTAAAATTGGTAGTATTTTTCTAAATGTTTAAGAAACGAGATCACAAAAATAAGTTTTATTTTAGTAAATTATCATAATGTTCATCTTATTGATCATTTTTGTTTGCGTAAATGATTGTTTTTTTTTAATAACTTTTGATAAAATATGAAAAATTTAAAACTCGTTTCCGTTGCAAAAGATCATTTTGGAGAAACCCTGCCTTCTCTTCCTCTATGTAATTTTATGTTGAATCTGAACTGAACAAAGAAAAATCTTAGATGTTATCAAAAAGAAAACTCCTTTTGATTGATGAGATATAAAAGCTTAACATTAACTCATCACAATTGTTTTTTAATTAGTATTACATATAACAAGGAGTTGCTAAAAAGTTCTTGGTCCAAGAAATAATGGACTGCAAAACTTTAGCTTGTGTGTATTGAACACACAAGCTTCCAATGTTCACTCCTTTATGTCACTGGCTGATGTAACCTCATAGTTTCAAGTTGAAAATGTCAATGCTTGCTCAATTGATGTCAGTGTTTTTTATCAAGTGAAATGATTTGTTTTAGGTAAATTAGTCATGCCACTTATGCCTGTCTTCTCACTTCCACCAATATGGTGCTTGGCAAACAAAATACAAGCAACATATGGTCACTTTTTTTATTTTTTTATGACAATGTAGGTCAGTACTTGATTATTTGCTTTACAAAAACAAAGTCTGATTAACTATTTATCAGATTTTGAAAATTGGACTGGGCTAAAAAAATTTTCAGCACCTCCTCTTAGCAACTCAGTGTTACTTTATTTCTTTATCTCACCTAGTTTGAATATTTTATGCATATTATAAATTTGAATGTTCTCTGAATATATTATAATCATATTTTTCTTATTTTTAATTAGCTGTTTTGATGACAAATCTTAACTGATCAATTCTATCAGTTTAAACATTGACTCATTTAAACTTTAATTTCTTTAATGAAAGTGGAAGATTTTATTCTTTGTATTTAATTTACTTTTCAGTCAGTATTTTTGACACTTTTAAGACAATCCTAATTGATTTTACTATTATTGAATACATACTGCAATTTATTTGAGGTATTTTTGTGGTGATAGTAAATATTGATGGCTGATACAAAAACTAGAGAATATACTTGCAAAAACTTTTATTAAGTTAATAGCATCCAATAATAATAATTATAAAATGATTAAATATAATTAATGAACAGTGTGTCCTATTAAATCTTGAAGTGATTTAAGATTACTTTATAATTACTCTCATCACTTATGAAATTTTTTTTTCATTTTTCAGAATTTATCTTTTTATATTGAAATTACTTTGTAAATAAAATTAACATTTCCGTTTGACTATTTCTTTTTCTTTTCTAATTGTGTTCAGTTCTGTGGCTTTGAGAAGAGATCCCCGACTTCAAGCTCAAAAAGGAAATGTACCAACTGAACAAAAAGCTATGTCTTCCCCTGCTCCTAAAGCTGATCCCAGATTACAATCGGGCAAAGCTACTACATCAGTACCATCAGAGACTGTACCCCCTCGTCTCCCAACACCACCTGTCCCTGTCATCAATGCTATTCCAACTGGAGAGTTACCATATCGACTCTATGAAGTCTCCACAAACAAATTGCCACTTTCAGCTACAGTTGATGTATTTGATCCTAGATTTAAAAATGATCCTCGTGTTCAAAAATTCCTTAGCAATCCACCTGAATGTTTAAAACAGAAAGCAGGATCTTTAGAAACTGACAAAATGTTAAAATCCCTTGGTGTTCCTAATCCCAACCGTATTGATGATATTTCAAATACTGCCATACAGACTCCTACATTACCAGCTATGTCAGTTCCAGCTGGACTCCCACCAGTATTACAGCGGCCACAAGATCCTCGTCTTCAGAGAACGGGAGCACAGAATTCTCGTATTTTGGGTAAAAAATCTGATGATAAGGATTCTCAAGAATTAAGTAAACCTATTGACCCTCGCCTCATGAGAAGTGGGAATGACCAAAAATCATTAGATCCCAGATTATCTCGGCAGCAGTCTAATACTGGTAATGTACGAAATCATGATCCTCGCCTATCTAGGCAACAGGACACTAAGAACCCACCTAGCCGTTTGTCTGGTGATCCACGTGCAGTTAGGCAACAGTCACCAGTAAGAGAGCCAACTCTCCCCACATTACTATTGCCACCATTGCCAAATGTAAATGCTCAGTCAGGTAATTCAAGCAATCCACGAGGACCAAGACCACCTATTGATCAAACAAAATTTGGTACTCGTGGTTCCATTCCACCGAATCGACCTAATAATCCTCGCTCAATGAGACCAGAAAATCAAAATAAGAATATTGATCAAAATGAATCACAAAATACAGACTCTGCACAACCAAAACTGGATCATCGAAATGATCCCAGGTTCAAACGAAAACCAGCTGCAGATAGCAACAGTTCACAATTGCCTCCCCCGATTCGAAAGTTTATAGGGCAACGCAAGGGCAGCATGGAATACAGTTCCCCACTAGGTGTTGAAATGGACAAACCAGAACAAAGCAGTGGCTATAATAGTTATAATCGTCCTCCAAATGCAAACCGTCAGATAGGAAGTGGAAACAAGCCACGGACTAGTGGGGCTGATATAATTCCCCCAAATCTTCCACCTTCAACTGGGAGCCTTCCTCTTCCTCCAGTTAGTAGTGAGTCCTTGCAAAGTGATCCTCGAGAAATGGGTGGTCTTTCTGAACTTTCTGGAGTACCCACTTCTGGTTTTCCCCCACAAATATCACAAACCAGTCCCAATCTACCATATCAAGCAATGCCACCTCCTGACCAACCAAAACTTAAAGATTTATTTAAAACAATTGATCCAACAGCATCTCCGTTTTGTTAACAAAAGGTTTGTGGGAGCTGAGAATTTTGCATGGACACTGAGGAAAATTCCTTTCCACTTATTCATCTCTGTCTTGGTTTTTCTAATATGACATACCTTTACATGTATTGGTTGTATTTTTTCTCCAGGATTTCTGTAAAGATAACATGACAAAGTCAAAAAAATAAGTGTGGGAATGAATTTGCAACTTGACAGATTAATACTTCTCTCTCCCTTTCAATTTTTAATCAGTCAAAAAGAAATTTCATCTGTTCTGCTTATTTGATGCTAAAAGCTTTTTAGAAATATCAATAGAATAATCCGTCTTTGGATTTTCCAGAAAATAAAACTAGCTGAACATGCTGCAATTTCTCTTTGTTAAAACATTTTATCAGAACACTGACAACCTACACTTTTTGGCAATGTTCAGTGCACGTGTACAGTTGTATATTTGTAAAATACTCAAGAGCCATAAAATGTTTATAATTTTTTTGTTTTGAAATTATAGACTTTTACTGAAAATGTGTTTAAGATACTACCAAAATATATTGAAATAATATGCTTTCAGTTAAAACCCATATTTTTTTCATAATTCAGTTGAAGTGGTTGATTTATATGATATTCGGCAAGCATTTTAGCTTATTGTTGAAAAAGGTACTTTTTATTTAGCAGTAATTTTTCATATGTTGTTTCTAAAAACTTTTTTTTTATCTTCAAGTACATGGATAAAAACAAAAGAGTTAAGCAATCATGTTTGTATCTTCCAGATGAAGAATTGTTGTGTTGAAATTGTACCTCAGGATGATAATCATGTTATTTGTTATGATTGTAACTTGCTACAAAATATCATTAAAGGAATTGCTTGATATCAGTTTATGAACTGTTTAAAGTTATCAGCCAAAGACAAACTGTAAGGAATGTTAAAACTGTTTGTGTGTACAAAGAAGGAAGGGAAAGAGAGAGAAAGTGGAGAACTGTCTAAAATTGTGTTTAAGGAAATGGGCAGTGGATGAAAAACAATACTAGATTGATTAATGAAACAATCTTTTTTGTTTTTAAATAGTTCAAGCTTTAGAGATATTTTGATTGTTCTGAAAGATTTTGCTAAAGATTGAAAAAGTTTTTCTTAGCATGAGAACTATTCAAAATATTATGTCTTAATAATGTAGTGCAAAGGGCAATTATAAGATTAAATTATATAAATTTATTTAATTTTTATGTATTATCTCTTGAACTCAAAAGAGTTTTAGATGAAATAACATATTGACTGACTCCTATGTTATGTATTATATTGTACGAATTCAAAGATGCCAAATGCTCTCAATGTATATTTCATTTTTTCTTCTGGAACATTGCTAAATTGTTTTAGTTATTCTGCTTATATTTTAAAATAGGTTTGTTTTCAGTTTGAAAATCACTTGAAGAAGGAATAATTTTTCTTTTCCTTTTATTTAAAATAAAATTGAGTACTGAAATAGGTATTATAAATATTTGCTTTACAAAAACCATATGACATGGTTTTGGATATTTTTAATGTTGGATAAATGAAATTACTTAAAAAAAAAATTTGCTCTTGCTATGCCATTTTTGTAATCCTGTACCTAGAATAAAGATGAGTACCTACAGTCTAAAAGCTATTTGCAAGATATTAAAGCTACCTTTAACATTGTGGAATTAAATGATATCTGCTAGTTGCACAGCTTTCTTTTAAGAAAATCTTATATTACATTTTCCAATTATAATTTAACAAAGATCATTTCTGATGTTCAACGTTGATGAGTGTGTTTAGATTTGATAAGTGTTTAAGAAACTCTTCTGATCATGAGAGAACATGTTGAGCTGTCTGTTTCATTTTAGGTAAGTCTTTATCTTCTATATTCAATACATTTGTATACTCATAGTGTATACTTAAATTGAAAGGCATATTGAATTATTAAACTATCTACCATTTGGGCTGCAATCATTCTCAAGACATTTTAAAAGCCAATAGGCAAACTTTCACTTTAGTGAATGCTAGTTACTATTTTTATAGAACTTTATGGTGTATTAAATTTAAAAAAGAGATAATGATTTCAAAACTGGCTAAAAGGCTCTTTTTTTTTCTAAATCTACAATATTAAAGTGGTAAAGTTATATAATGTTTCTTGCTTTAATTATGCTCAGTTTTATAGTTTTAGAATAATAAATATACAACTAATCCTGTTTTGCTGGATTTTATAAAAACATACTTTTCATAATGTTAAATACAAAGTTAATTTAAGAAATGCTTTATCAGTTTAATTTGTAAAATTTGAAAAACAATTTGAGGCAAGTTTTTCACTAATTAAATAACAGCAAAGTTGAATGATCCTTATTTCTTTATGAAAGTACTATTAATAAGAAAATATGATCTCAGATAATGTTTTCAGGCATAATTCAGAAATTAGTAGTTATTGAATTTAATGATTCCATATAATGCACATGAAAATAAGTTAGTATCAATTTTGCTTCTTCTATTCAATATTACTTTATATATTACAAGATTTAATTACAGAGTGCCAACTTTAGTTTTTAGTGGAATTATGAAGTCATGAAAACCTAATTATAATACCTTTTTCTTTTCTTTCATATGCTTCTGTTAAGAGAACATGGAAATGATTAAGTAATTACAATTATATGATTAATGTAACATCATTTTGTATTGAATATGTGCAGTTTATACTAATCTGATCTTAGTTTAAAAAATGTTTTTTGATCTTTTTAACTTTTGCAACTAAGTTCAAAAGTTAAAAAAAATACAGTTCAATTTATAATTTCCAAAGCTTGACAAAAGAAATAGAAAAAAGTAAGTATATATGTAGATTACTGAGTTTATTTTTTCTGATTTTTAGACCCTTCTGTTTATTATTGACTCTAAAACGGGAAACTATGCCAAAGCCAAATTAGTGAGGGTTGTCAGTTAATTTTGAAAAATAAAAGTTGTACTTTTCATCTGTTACCCATGCTCCCTCTTTTGTGAGTTCTTTTTTTTTTCTTCTTCCCACCCTACAGCAGTTTCACTGACCATGGGGTGAGATTTGTTATGGATTTTGCTGGTACTATTTTGTATCTCAGTCATCCTTCTCTCTCTTGCATTGCTGAGAAAGAGGGACAATGCCACACTTATAAATTACTAACTAGAAAAGCTGCAAGTTCATGTTTTATGTAACATTCACACTGAAGTTTCATTTTAAAGCCAAGCACAAGTTTTCTATTTTCCTGATATTTTTGTTCTTGCATGTGCAAGTAAAACAATGATATTACACTTTTTTAATTTGTAAATGAAAATTTAATAAATAACAAATATTGTTTTTATTTATTACAAATATTCTTTAATATGTTCCCCGTTTACCCCTAATTAATCATCTGTGATAGCACAAAATCCACTCAATAAACTGTGGATCAAACTCAGGGACCTCTATGTGAGTGGATTCACAATTCATTTATTCGTTGTAGGGAGAACTACCAGAAATATTTATCACAATGGCTGCCACTGCTACCATCATCGCACATGTCTATGTAACAAACTGTAGACAAAAAAATATGTATTTATTTTAAAGTGTATGAACAATTTAGTGATTTATTAACAAAAATTCTTAATGTATTATTTATTTGTGAACAAAATAATTCACAATTTCCATTGGTTGTGGAGACTTACAAGAGAGGAAGAACAAAAATGAAACAACCAATTTTATTTTATTAGTATTGTTTCCCTGTCAGTTTTCTCTTTTTAATTATTATTTTCTAGTAATCTCTTAGTAGCAATTGTTACATCTTGTTTCTAGCTAGATTTTTCTTGGTTGATTCATTTATCAATACCGTTTACTTCCATGCATTATTTTATTTGTCAGTTTTGTTTGTTTTTAAGCCTGCTTGATGTAAAAACAGATTGGGGTAGGGGAAAACAGATTTGTGTCTAATGCAATATTTTCAGTTATTAAAACAATGTCTACAGAGATATATCTCCATTTAAATATACTCTTTTTGGCAGCAAACAAACAAAACATTTCTGTTGGTGAATGTTGTACATATGTTGAAATGCAGAATGAATTGTCATGAGCTGATTTTTTTTTTTTTTTTTTTTTAGAGTGGTCACTGGGGGGCAAGTAATTATACATTTTTGTATATAAAATCTGTTGGTCTTTTCAAACTAACTGGATTGTTAAGGATGAAGCAATCATCGACTTATAATTTTGAGTGTTTCTACCTCGTTTTTTTTTTTTTTTTACATTTTCATTTTTTCTTCATTTTTCTGCCTACCCCCACTTCACTTACTCATTCTTCTTCGTCTATTTATACTAATGTTAAGATTAATTTTCTTCATTTCATTCAATCCTTATCATTCCATTTTTTTCTCTTTGTTGCTTTTTGTTTCTTTTATTTTTTCTATATTCAAAATTATTTTTAATTTATAATCATCCAGAGCTACAGTTTTTTTTTCTCTGTAAAAATGTGTATCAAATAAAAGCATTTAGTATGTGAGAATTCTTTGTTTTTAATTTTCTATTTTCTTTTTTTTATAATTTTTTTTACAAGTATGTTGCAGGTTATATGATAATTTGGAAGTGAACAAATATAATCTGAATTTAATATTTCAAAATCATTTTCATAAAAGTTCCATTGTACAATGTAAATAAAAGTTAATGTAAGATATTTTGGATTTAGCTGTTGGCTAGTTTTCTTGTATCCATTCTAATGATGTACCAATTTACGAACCTTTACACCCCCCCTTATTTTTGTTACCGGGTTCTTCAATATGCAATTATTAATTTATTTAATTATAGTTGGAAAAATATTTAATGAAAACATCCCCTGTTAGCCTGTAAGCATTTATTTTGTCTTGGCAGTAAGCCATAATTTCCATTCAAAGAATTTAATTTTAAAAAACAGTTATTTCAATTTTATTATGATTAGAGATGTTTTTTTTACCTTAGGTTTGGATTCTTGGGATGGGGAGGTGCGAAACTCCATCTTCACTTGATTCAGCTTTGCAACATTAGGAC